AAAATAAGAACAGCAAACTCCAAGTTCAAAACCAGCGAGAAGCAGAACAAACCCCTACATCAAAGACCAATGTAACCAAGAGGGAAAAAAAAGAGAATATAACTTGGATATCAAAGAAGAGGAAGATTCAACAAGAAGGAATTATGTTTGTAAAAATGAACAGTTAAATTCAAGGGCACTCTAAGAATGTCCTCAATAATGGAATTTCTTTCCCCACCCTTACACCATCTTAATCATCTCTGGCGAAATTCTATTTTTACTCCCAGAATTTAGAGATGTAACTTCGAACGCACCAGAGTTTATTTTTTCTGGGGTGATTTCGGAGATATATTTTCGATGTTACGAAATTTCATTTTTTCTGGGGTGATTTCAGAGATATATTACCGAAGTTACAAAAATTTCATTTTTTTAGAATTAATTCAGAGATGTATTTCCGAAAATATATAATGTTATATTTCAGATGTACATTTTCGAAATAGACATTGAATGATTACAACAAAACAAAAACCTTAAAACAGAAAATTATGTAGATATAACAAAAGAGAGTTGAGTATGATAATGAGCTCGACAAGAGGCGTGTCCTCGCATAATCTAAATTGAAGTGGCGGTTTCGCACAATTGAAGTATACAAAAGCAAAGTGAGAATATGTTTGTGTCATATCTGATTTGTGGTGTGTGATGTGTAATTTGTGGTGTATGATGTTGAAGAAATGACTTAGACATCCTATTTATAGAAGATTTAGATCAATTTGATCTCAAGAATTCTTTTCATGTGTCAGGACATCATTCGAAAATACACTTCCGAAACATTTCCTGATTGTTCTTGTATTTCCGAAACATTTCCTGATTGTTCTTTTTTTTTTCCAAAAATATTTTCGAATTATGTAGAGACAAGACTCTATTTGGGATATTTTCGAAAGTGCATTTCAGAATTCATTCCAAAATTTGATATTTTAGATATTTTCGGAAATACATCTCCGAAACACCTTGATTTGAGGTGCGTCCGGAAATACATCTCTGAATAGTATTTTGAGTTTTCAAGAGTTTTTTTCAGAAATGTATTTCCGAATTATGTAGAGACAGAACTCCATCTTGGATATTTTCAAAAGTGCATTTTCGAATTCATCTCAAAATTTAATATTTTGGATATTTTCAGAGATACATCTCCGAAACACCTTGATTTGAGGTGCGTCTAGAAATACATCTTCGAAGAATATTTTTGAATTTTCAGAGATTTTTTCCCACTTCTAAGAGATGTAAAAAAAAATTCTCTCTCAATAATATCCACAACAACTTTAAAAGCGGTTGATAATCTTTGACATGTCCTTAATAATGTCCCTATAATATCCTTTTGTGGCGCCCACTACATAGAACTCGTGAAAGAATAGAAAAAATTAACCGTGGAGAATTCAATCAGAGAAAAGATCACATAAAAATATGGGACATAATTATAACAAGACAAATCAACCCAAACAATAGTGTGCCAAACCAGGTTGTCCAAAATTCTTTAACCTCCCTAAGATCTCATCTATATTTTGTATGCTTATACTTTATTCTTATTCTTATACTTATATAAGACACAATTGACAAGTAGACAATTGACAAGTAGGGAAAATAATTATAACTTGGCAAATAAAACCAAACAAAAGAGTGTCAAACCAAGTTGTCTGAAATTCCTCAACATCCCTAAGATGTGCTAATTTTTTATGCTTCATATTCACGTTCCTACTGCAGAAACACCGAAACTCCAACTATATCAAGACATACCATCAAAAAAAAGAAGTGAAAACGCAAAGAAATTGACAAGAAAATAGGGGAAATAATTATAACATGGCATATTAACCGGAACAAGTGTCAAAGTAGGTTGTCTGAAATTCCTCAACCTCACATTTTTGATGCAGACACAAAAACTCCAACTGTAGCAAGACATGCCATCAAAAGAAAAGTATCACAAATCTAAAAAATAATACACATATGTAATACAATAATATCCAATAATTGATCTTATCCATGACTAAACGCAAAGTATGTGAATATCTTCTTATCACAGGTTCTGTAGCAAACCACAAGGAACTGATAAGAGTAGATATTGAGTATGAGAAAAGACAAAAATGTGAAGAGTCTAATCAAAATGACCAAATAAAGGCCTAGCAACAGTATGAATTATGAAGTATATGACACAAGCTTCAAAAGATGATGACGTATACGACATATCCTATGAGGATATAGTTCCACAACCAAGCTGCATAAAATCACATTCAAAATACAATTTGTATGTCTTGCAATGAAAGATGGAAAATAAAAATAGTAAAAAATAACCATTGAAAAACTGATATAGTTATCTTGACTTATTGTCTGTTGTATCACTACATTATAGATATCCAAACTTCTTTGATGTGGTTATCTTGAGTTATTGTCTGTTGTATCCCGACATTATGGATATCCAAACTTCTCAGCTTGCAGTGAAATATATTAATGCGTCTCTTAATTATTAAATGGAGACTTGAATCTAAAAGTTATAGAACATAAGAAATCAAGAAAATCTGACCACTGAATCAAGAAAACAAGAAACGAGAGAAAATTGAACAGAACACAATCAAACTTTAGAATAAAATAACTGAAAGAATTCCTCTCCTGCAACACCAAACAGTAAGTAACAAATCAATAAATATATGATCTATAGAGTTATGAAACGAAAAGAATTTACAAGAGATGGTCAAATCAAAACTTGAGGCTGTCTGGCAATAAAGGTTATTAATTTGACAAACAACACTGCACAAAATATGTTCCGAGTTTAATTTGAATATCAAAGCAAAGAAATAAAATTGAAAAAATTGGTTTTATATGTAATTTACAAGAGATGACCAAATCAAAACTCGAGGCTGACAATAAAGGTTATTAATTTGACAAACAACACTGCACAAAAGATGTTCTGAGTTTAATTTGAATATCAAAGCAAAGAAATAAAATGAAAAAATTGGTTTTATATGTAGTGTTGTTAATTCTTATTTGTACTAAATATTTACTTCTCCACTGTGTCAGTACCACTTTGGCCAAGAAGACTCTTATTCTTACAAATCAAATAAGAGAAAAGTACCTTTTAGAAGAGCGTGTACTGTCCCATTCCTATTACAAAAACACAAAACTCCAACTATAGCAGGACATTTTAGATTATATTCGAACGTATTCAATATTATACATATACAAAATAATTAAATATTTCGTCTTTAAGGAATTTTCGAATATGAATATCCAAATTAATAGAGTGTTAAGAATCAATGTGTATCAATTGTATTAATTGTATTACCTTATTGTGGTCACATTAAACACGTTATAATACAAAAAATACATTTTCAATAAAAGAAATACAATTAAGACGAATACAAATTTCTCTTAATTAAGAAGAATGGATGTCGTCAATACTGTTTTTTTTTAAGATACACATTAATTCTAATCGAATCTTAATATTTATATCCGAAAATCTCCTAAAGATGAAATATTAGATTATTTAAAATATGCATATTCGAAAATCCTCTGAAAATGAAATATTAGATGCGTTCAAATACCATTTGATATCTTCGGATTTGCATCTCCAAACCTATTTAATAAAAAGTTGAAATGCGTTAAATTCGAATATACATACCGAATTTGGAAAATAATATAATTTTTTTACTAAGGGACCCTAAAAACCCCTAAGGGTGTATTAAGAAACTCCCAAATGGTATTACTTTTTCAAAATTAAGAGCAGCCGCAATAATAATCTCTTGAGTAACCTCCATATACTTGAGAAAGAATAATAATAAGATATGTGATTTTTAAATACTCCATTGTTTTAACTCTATTAATTACTACACTATAAGGAACTATATTTTAATATTTTAATTAATTCTTTACCTTAAAAAACATTATTTTTATTGTTGAAAACATAAAACATATTACCCATTTAAGAAAAAGAAACAAATTCATTATCTCAAAAATAAATTCATATTATCCATGCTCTCAAGAAGCGATGTTTCCATTGTCTCATTCTCGCACATTTGTGTTCAGAAGCAACTCAATCTCCCTTCTTACTTCTTAATCTTATAAACACCCTTTGGTCACCGATCTGCACTGCTCCTTTCTCCACACTCCCAGAAACAACACTCCCAGAAGACACCATCAAAAGAAATATATCTTAAAAAGACTATTTTTATCCTAATGTTGAATAAATAGTATGCTAACCTTTGCTAATCTTGTATGATGAACTAAAGCAATAAAGAACTACTCCTTTTTATGACCATTATCGTTCTTATCCATTGTAATCAAGAACTGCAAACTACTCTAGATATCTAGTAATCAGCTCGCTGCAATACTGATAAACGCATGTCAATATTCATTTAATTTTAATAGCATTGAATGATTATCAAATGAAACATTATCAAAAGGGAACTGGAAAACAATTGATTAAAACCCAAACTAGAACATTAAAATAAAAACAGCAAGCTCCATGATCAAAATCAGCTAAAACAAGATCAAACCCCTACATCAAAAGACCCAATGTAACCAAGGAAAACAAAGAGAGAATTACAAAAATTGAATATCGAAAAAGAGGAAGATTGAAACGAAAAGTTACCTCTCTTGCAACACCAAAGAGAAAAAGAAAAAGAAAAACCATATGCTCTTACAAATGATAAAGAAATACAGATACGAAAAAGTTACTAGAGATCACCATATAAAAACTAAAAGCTCTGCGCTACGAAGAAAATTATTTTGCCAAGCCACATTACAGAAAAATAGTTTCATAGTTCAATTCGCATACCTAAGAGAAGCCAAAATAAAAAATAGTAAAGAACAACTCCTTGAAGAAATTTGATTTATCAAGACTCAACTTCCTTATCCATTGTATCAGGTATTTTAAAAAATTCTAGATAGGAGAAATAAGGCAAATCAACTTACCAAACAAAGTTGTTCAAAATTCCTCAACCTCCCTAAGATGTACTATAATTTTGTAAGCTTCATATTCATGTCCCTGATGTGAAAACACAAAAACTCCAACTGTAGCAAGACATGCCATAAAAAGGAAAGTATGGCGAATCCAAAAACTAATACACGCATGTAATACAATAATTGATCTTATCCAAGGTAGAATGCAAAGTATGTAAATGTAGAGGCTTAAGCAAATCACAAGGAACTGATAAAGTAGATGCTAAGTATGAAAAAGATTGAAATTTGAAATGTGAATAGTCTAAGTAGAGATGACCAAATTAAAGCCTAACGACAGTATGTCTACACAACCTGCAAAAGATGACGATTCAGTGAAACAAATTTTCATCCAATTTGCAAGATTCTGTACCCATTTGAAATGACACAACTTTAGCTTCATCCTAATAAAGAGGAGTACTTTAACCTCTGCAAGAAAGAGGATATTTTTAGGAGGTATAATCATCAACATAATCATAAATTACAATTTCCTCTATATTTGTATGCTTCATTATCATGTTCCTGATGTAGAAACAAAAACACTCTAACTGTAGCAAGACATCCCATCAAAAGAAAATTATCAGAAAGCTGAAAACTAATACACGTACGTAATACAATAACCGATCTTATCCAAAGGATGGCAAAGTATGTGAATGTCTTCTTGTCACAGGTTCCATAGCAAATCTCAAGGAACTCATAAGAGTAGATGCTGAGTATGAAAAACACAGAAATGTGAAGAGTCTACCTGCAAAAGATGTTGAAGTATTCGACACGTCCTATGAAGAAGGTTATTATATTCTCAAAAACTACACTTCCTGCAAGACCAGAGGAAATAAAAGATCAAGAATAATATGCTTTCAAAAGGAATAAAGAATTATTGAAAACATAGATTTTAAAAGAAATCATCAAACCGACTCAAGCTCCATGCTTCATTGAATATTGTTTTGAAAAACCCAAGCAGCATAAAAACAAGTTTAGAATTCAAATTTAATGTCTTGTGATCAGTCGGAAAAATAAAAATAATAAAGAACAACTCATTTCTATACCATTATCGTTCATACCATTGTAATCAATAACTGCAAACTGCTCCAGATATCAGCTTGTGCACTGTCTGAAACAAAAATGTAGAACAAACATTTGTAAGAGAAAAGCTGAATTGATGGTAAGAACCCTTGAGGGAGGCTTGATTTTGCAAAGAATCTTATTCTACGCTACACTGCATAATACAGAGTCATATTTCAATTCACAAGTGTGGCAATAAACCACATATAGACTAAAGTGATGACCAAATTTTAGAGAGCATCAATAGTAGGGAGTGTGATACACAACCTGCAAAAGTTGATGATTCGTTCCGATCCAACAAAACCATGTACAGAGCAGTCGCTGGGCCACTGAATCAAAGAAGGTATATTTTTATGATTATCATAATCATCATAAATCACAAATAAAAACAACAAAATAAAAGATTATGGAAAACTTCTCTACTCCCAACAAAGATAAAAAAAATTTAAGTTGTCCCCTAAATCATCAGAGCAAACAAAACATATGTTGTCCCAAATTCCCCATCTCTCCATTACCAAATGAAAAACGTGTGGAGTCAGTGTCATGTGTTTCATGGTAACCCATTCGCAAAAGAAGAGTAAACAGAAGTGAGATTATGATAAACTCTTGAGGTCGACAATCTGAGAATACACAAATCCATAAGAAAACAATATCAGCAAACCCTGACATCAAGCCAACATGAAGTAAACAATCTGAAAAACTTTAGAATCAATAAATCAAAATCTTATTGTTCTACTAGAGATTGAACGAAAAGATTTTACTGGAGAAATCAAATGCATGACTCCTTTCTTACCCTTTGCATCAAAGTTTCCATATCACCGCAAAACAGATAAACTAATATATTGATTATGCAATGAAGAATTCTATAAAAAAATTGATAATTGATCCATAAAAGAGTCAAAAGAACTCCGAAACTCGCAATTGCTACAACCAGAAAAGCATATCAATACACATATTCGATCAGCCAAGAAAGAGATGGATATGAACTATAAAATCATATATAGCAAAGAGATGGATATGAACTATAAAATCATATATACCAAAGAAATGGATATGAACTATAAAATCATATATACCACAGATCTCCTAATGATTACATTTGTAATTCTGAAAACTATAAAATCATATATACCAAAGAAATGGATATGAACTATAAAATCATATATACCGCAGATCTCCTAATGATTACATTTGTAGTTCTGAAAACAATTGAACACCAAAATCAACATTAGCACATTACATTGCTATAGAAAAGAAACTATTACAACACAAATGAACCGTTAAATCCAAGGGCGCTCTAAGCATGTCCTTAACCCTTAACACAGCTTTCAAAATCCCCTGTAAAACCTAAGCAAACAGAAGTTGTTGATAATCTTTGCCACGAAGAACTTAACATATCCCACTGTGACGCCCACCACAGAACTCATGACAGAATCGGAAAAACTAATACTGAAGAATTAAATCAGAGAAAAGATCACGACATGAAAGCACGACAAAGCATATTGCAGATTCTGTGAGACATATATTTGAGAAATAAAACTCTTATTCTTATATTTATTAACAAGGAAAATCAACCCAAACAAGTGTGCCAAACCAACCAGGTTGTCCGAAATCCGAAGATTTACTCTATATTTCTTATGCTTCATATTTGTGTTCCTGATGTAGAAACACCAAAACTCCAACTATAGCAAGACATCCCATCGAAAGAAAAGTATCGAAGACGAAGGAAAATCTTACTATTATACTTATATAAACACAACTGACAAGAAAATAGAAGAAATAATAATAAGATAGAAAATCAACCCAAATGTTTTCCAGTCACGGGCTCCATACTGACAAACAGCTAGCAACAATATGGACTAGGAAGTATACAACACAACCTACGAGAGATGATGATTTTGTGGAACAGATTTCCATCCAAGTAATATAGAGGAGTACTTTAACCACTGCAAGGAAGAGGATATATTTTTTGAAGTATAATCATCGTCATCAATCACAAATAACAAAAAGAATTTTTAAAAATAGTAACAAAAGATTTATAGTTTCAAAGAAAGCCCCAAAATAACTTTCCCAATTTCTCCAAAATCTTTTGCAATGGAAGATTATAAGTCAAAAACCTTAATGTATAGCATTTATGAGATCAAAAAACCCTAAGGTTGAATTTGAAAGTATATTCGGGTAAGACTACACGGTAATATTTATCTCTCACCGCACATCAATACATATCTCACACATGTAACACCACAGGACATAAAAGAGTAAATCAAGAAAACAGGACAATAAAACTATATATAGAAGAAATGAAATGAAAAACAATTCACAATCCAAGAAGAGTAAGGTGATAAATACAAAAAAAAAAGAACTACCATTATTTGGTATCAATCTGCAATACGGTAAGATAGAAAGTTCACACCAAAACTCCATCTTATGAAAAAGATTATTAGTTCGACGATCACATTTAAAATTCAATTTGTATGTATTGCAATGAAAGACCGAAAATGGAAATAGTAAAAAAAAATTACACTTCGAAAAAAATTGATTACACTATCTGGAGTTATTCTGCATTCTTGAAAAAATTGATTACACTATCCGGTTATTCTCCGTTCTGGTCTATTGTATCAAGACAAAAATGATAATAGTAAAACCAAATTACCCATTGAAAAAAATTAATCTATTCCATTCTTGTCTGTTGTATCAAGACATTATAGATATCAAAACGGATAAACGAATCTCTTAATTATTAAATGAAGAATTGGTTCAAAGAGTTATGGAAACCAAAATACAAAACATGATGAACAATATGCTTAAACTACCTTTCCTGCAAGACCAGAGGAAATAAAAGATCAAGAACAATATGGTTTCAAAAGAGAAAAAGAATTATTGAAAAAAAGATTCTAAAAGAAATCATCAAATCAAAACTCAAGCTGCAAAAAAAAAGGTCTAGAATTCGAATTTTATGTCCTGTAATCAAGTCTAGAAATAAAAATAATAAAGAATGTATTATTATCTATTGTAATCAAGAACTGCAAACTGTATATCTAGAAATAAGCTCGCTACATTACTGGTAATTTTAATAGGATTGAGCAATTATCAAATGGAGCATTTTATAAAAAATCAACACGTATTATCAAAAGAGAATTGAAAAACAATCGATTAAAACCCAAACAAGACCATTAAAATAGAACAGCAAACTCCAAGATCAAAACCAACGTGAACCAGATCAAACCCCTACATCAAAGACCAATGTAACCAAGGGAAAAAAAAAAAAAGAGAATATAACTTGTTGAATCTTCCTCTTCTTTGAAGGAATTATGTTTGTAAAAATGAACGGTTAAATCCAAGGGCACTGTAAGCATGTCCTCAATAAGGGAATTTCTTTCTCCACCCTTACACCATCTCAGTCATCTCTGGCGAAATTTCGTTTTTACTCCCAGAATTCGGAGATGTAACTTCGAACACACCTGAAAAAGTGAAATTTCGTAACATCAGATATGTATATTGGAAAATTCCCTGAAAATTTTAGATGCGTTCAAATACCATTTGATGTCTTCGGATATGCATCTCCAAACCTATTTATAAAAAGTTAAAATGCGTTAAATTCAAATATACATATCCGAATTAGAAAAATAATATAAAAAATTTACTAAGGGACCCTAAAAACTCCCAAATGGTATTACTTTTTCAAAATTAAGGGCAGCCGCAGATATTTAAATCAAATGTTGCCCGCATTAATAATTTCTTGAGTAACCTCCATATACTAGAGAAAAAATAATAATAAGATATGTGATTTATAAATACTCCATTGTTTTAACTCTATTAATTACTACACTATAAAGAACTATATTTTAATATTTTAATTAATTCTTTACCTTAAAAAACATTATTTTTATTGTTGAAAACATAAAACATATTGCCCATTTAAGAAAAAGAAACAAATTCATTATCTCAAAAATAAATTCATATTATCCATGCTCTCAAGAAGCAATGTTTCCATTGTCTCGATCTCGCACATTTATGTTCAGAAGCAACTCAATCTCCCTCCTTACTTCTTAATCTTATAAATACCCTTTGGTCACTGATCTGCACTGCTCCTTTCTCCAACACTCCCAGAAGACAACACTCCCAGAAGACACCATCAAAAGAAATATATATCTTAAAAAGACTATTTTAATCCTAAAAAAGACTATTTTAATCCTAACGTTGGATAAATAGTATGCTAACCTTTGCTTGCCACATGCCACAGCACACCAGACTTTCTTAGGTTGTTTGTCTTTTCATACACGCAGAAAATTCAAGATTTCAAAATTGATGATTATCAAAACTGTCTGAGAAACAAATAGGCAAGATAAATACTCAGAGTAAAATTAACACATCTAATTAAGAATATTTTCTTAAGAACTACAGACTGTCCAAATTGTCCAAAATTTCTCATCTGAAATGTTACTCCCTGATCTTGTATGATAAACTAAAGCAATAAAGAACTACTCCTTTTTATGACCATTATTCATTGTAATCAAGAACTGCAAACTACTCTAGATATCTAGTAATCAGCTCGCTGCAATACTGATAAACGCATGTCAATATTCATTTAATTTTAATAGCATTGAATGATTATCAAATGAAACATTATCAAAAGGGAACTGGAAAACAATTGATTAAAACCCAAACTGGACCATTAAAATAAAAACAGCTAACTCCATGATTAAAATCAGCTAATACCAGTTCAAACCCCTACATCAAAAGCCAATGTAACCAAGGAAAACAAAGAGAGAATTACAAAAATTGAATATCGAAAAAGAGGAAGATTGAAACGAAAAGTTACCTCTCTTGCAACACCAAAGAGAAAAAGAAAAAAAAAACTCTATGCTCTTAAAAATGATAAAGAAATACAGATACGAAAAAGTTACTAGAGATCACCATATAAAAACCAGAAGCTCTGCGCTACCAAGAAAATTATTTTGCCTAGCATACCTAAGAGAAGCCAAAAGAAAAAATAGTAAAGAACAACCCCTTGAAGAAACTTGATTTATCAAGACTCAACTTCCTTATCCATCGTATCAGGTATTTTCAAAAATTCTAGATAGGAGAAATAAGGCAAATCAACTTACCAAACAAAGTTGTTAAAAATTCCTCAACCTCCCTAAGATGTACTATAATTTTGTAAGCTTCATATTCATGTCCCTGATGTGAAAACACAAAAACTCCAACTGTAGCAAGACATGCCATAAAAAGAAAAGTATCGCGAATCCAAAAACTAATACACGCGTGTAATACAATAATTGATACAATAATTGATACAATAATTGATCTTATCCAAGGCAGAATGCGAAGTATGTAAATGTAGAGGCTTAGCAAATCACAAGGAACTGATAAAGTAGATGCTAAGTATGAAAAAGATTGAAATTTGAAATGTGAATAGTCTAAGTAGAGATGACCAAATTAAAGTCTAACGACAGTATAGACTATGAAGTATACAACACAACCTGCAAAAGATGATTCAGTGAAGCAAATTTTCATCCAATTTGCAAAGATTCTGTACCCATTTGAAATGACACAACTTTAGCTTCATCCTAATAAAGAGGAGTACTTTAACCTCTGCAAGAAAGAGGATATCTTTTAGGAGGTATAATCATCAACATAATCATAAATTACAATTTCCTCTATATTTGTATCATATTCATGTTCCTGATGTGGAAACAAAAACACTCAAACTGTAGCAAGACATCCCATCAAAATAAAATTATCAGAAAGCTGAAAACTAATACACGTACGTAATACAATAACCGATCTAATCCAAGGGCTGAACGCAAAGTATGTGAATGTCTTCATGTCACAGGTTCCATAGCAAATCTCAAGGAACAGATAAGAGTAGATGCTGAGTATGAAAAACACAGAAATGTGAAGAGTCTACCTGCAAAAGATGTTGAAGTATACGACACGTCCTACTAAGAAGGTTATTATATTCTCACAAACTACACTTCCTGCAAGACCAGAGGAAATAAAAGATCAAGAATAATATGCTTTCAAAATAGGAATAAAGAATTATTGAAAACAGATTTTAAAAGAAATCAAAATAGGAATAAAGAATTATTGAAAACAGATTTTAAAAGAAATCATCAAACCGACTCAAGCTCCATGCTTAATTGAATATTATTTTGACAAACCCAAGCAGCATAAAAACAAGTTTAGAATTCAAATTTAATGCCTTGTGATCAGTCGAGAAAATATAAATACTAAAGAACGACTCATTTCTATACCACTATCGTTCATACCATTGTAATCAATAACTGCAAACTGCTCCAGATATCAAAGATATCAGCACGCTGTAATACTGATGTGTCAAAACTCTTTTAATTTTAACAGTATTGAACGATTAATTGATTATCAAATGAAGCATTATATAAAATAAAAAAACCTACACATTATCAAAAGAGTATTGGAAGACAATCGATTAGATACCAAACAAGACCATTAAAATATGAACCCGATCAAACCCCTACATCAAAAGACCATGTAAACCAAGGGGAAACTAGGAGTGAATATAAAAACAAATATCAATCAATGAAGAGGAAGATTGAACCAGAAGGATAAGTTCACAGTTCAATTTGCATGCATTACTAAGAGAAGTTAAAGTAATAATAATAAAGAACAACTCATTAAAGAAATTTGATTTATCATACTCAACTTTCTTATTCATTGTATCAAGTATCTTCAAACATAAACGCATATTTTGATTATCCGAGAGATGGATATGAATCCAAGATCTTCTAATGATTAGATTTGTTATTCTGAAAACGAATAAACACAAATCAACATTAGCACAGTACATTGCTATAGAAAAGAAACTATTACAACATAAGTCCAAGGAAAAATGAACAATTATCCAAGGGCGCTCAAAGCATGTCCTTAATAATGGCCACCACAACTTTCAAAATCCCCTGTAAGACCAAAGTATACACAAGTGGTTGATAATATTTGACATGGAGAACTTAACATATCTCCCCTGTTATGCCCACCACATAGAACTCACAAAACAATTCAAAAAACTAATCGTCAGAGAAGAGATCACCACATGAAAGCATAACAACAGCATAATGCAGATTCTGTGAGAGACATCTATTTGGGAAAGAAAACTCTTACTATACATATTGCTGATTCTGTGAGACACGTCTATTTGGGGAAGAAAACTCTTATTGCTATACTTATATAAGACAACTGTCAAGAAAAAATGGGAAATAACTATAACAAGGAAACTATAGAAACAATTCTAACTAACCAACCTGTAAAAGGAATCAAGGGAAATATGGTTATGTGACATTCTTGTTTAGCACATACAAAAAAAAAGGACAAGCAAACTTTCTTGTTTAGCACCAACCCTAAATTTAAGAAAGAAGAGAAAGTAGAAGACAAGAAATCAAGAAAATCTACCCAACAAATCAAGGAGCCAAGGACCGAGAGAAAATAGAATACAACTCAAGCAAACTTTCGAATCAAGAAATTGAAAGCATATCCTCTCCTGCAACACCAAAACAAATCAAGAAATATATGCTCTATAAAGAGTTATTAACCGAAAAGAATTTACAAGAGATCACCAAATCAAAACTCGAGACTGTCTTGCAATGAAGGTTGTTAATTAGACAAACACACTCGAAAAACATGTTGAGGTCAATTTAGAATGTACTGACATCAAGCAAATAAATAAATATAACAAAAAAGGAATCATTGAAAAAATTAGATTTATATGTAGTGTTCTCAGTTCTTATCTGTTCTTGGTGGACTTCCCCACTGTCTGCAACAAACTTGATGACAAAGAAACTTACTCTGTCAACAATAGGTTGTAGAAAAAGAAACAAGAATAAGGAGAGAATATGGAATAATTCTCTAAACCAAGTCCCAGATTAGCATAACAGAGAGAGGCCCGCCAATTTAGCAGTATTGATGTAAAGAACCCTTAAGAGAGGCTTGATACTACGCATAATGTTAATCTACAGTACACTACATAAAACACAGCCTTATTTCAATTGAGATGTATGACGGTAAAAGCCAGAACAAAATCAAGAACCCATGAAGACGTCAGGATACAAACATGAAGATTAATGCTCACAAACTACCTTTCCTGCAAGACCAGAGGAAATAAAAGATCAAGAATAATAAGTTGTCAAAAGGGATAAAGAATTATTGACAAATTAAAGACAGGTATGTAAACTTGTGCACTGTCTGAAACAAAAACCCAAATGTAGAACAAACATTTGTAAGAGAAAAGTTGAATTGATGGTAAGAACCCTTGAGAGAGGCTTGATTTTGCATAGAATGTTATTCTACGCTACACTGCATAAAACAGAGCCATATTTCAATTCACATGTATGGCGATAAAAGCCAGAACAAAATAAAACCTCAGAAATCAAGAAACCAGAAAGAAAATTATAGTTACAAAGCCCCACAAAGCTTTCCCAATTTCTCCAAAATCCTTTGGAATGGAAGATTATAACTCAAAAACTTAAATGTAAGAAAATAGTAAGTATTTATGAGATCAAAAACCCCCAAGGATGACTTTGCAAGTATAAAGGAGTAAAGAACAAGACTACAAAGTAAAATTCATCACTCACCGCACATCAATACTTATCTCTCTCATGAAACATCTAAGTGACATAAAGGGGTAACTCCAGAAAACAGGACAATAGAACTCTATATAGTAGAAATGAAATGAAAACAATTCACAATCCAAGAAGTGTAAAAAAATAACCTGATTTCTTGATTACACATTGCTTGATACTACACAAAACACTATTGTCCCAAAACACAATTGGTGCAAAACACTCTGCATAACAAAAAATAGTACATATTTCAATTAGCAATTCAAGTAAGGTGATAAATACTAAAAAATCACCATTATTTGATATCAAATAGCTTTCAAAGGTTAAAACTAACAACAACCAAATCAAACCTAAGAAATAAGAAACCAAAAATTAACACTGAAGATCAAACAAGAGGTAAATAGAACTAGTAGAAATCACGTGTATTAGATATCCTGCAACACCAAAGAGTACATACCAAATCAATGAAGATATGCTTCCAGAATCGATAAAGAAATATTGAAAATGAAAAGTATTTAATAGAGATCACCTAATCAAAAATTAAAACGCTAAGCTTCATCCTAAGAAGATTATTAGTTCAACAATCACGTTCAAAATTCTATTTGTATGTCTTGCAATCAAAGCCCAAAAATGAAAATAGTAAAAAATGACCCATTGAGAAACATTGATTAAGCTATCTAGATTTATACTTTGTTCTTGTATGTTGAATCAAGACATTATGGATATCCAAACAGATAAATGCATTTCTTAATTATTAAATGAAGAATTGAATCGAAGAGTTATAGAAACATTACTATAATTGATCCTTAAAAGAAGAGTGGAAAGAACTCTGAAGCTTTCTATATCTACAATCCGAGTTATACATGTTAACTATATAGAACAAAATCCATCTACAACACTTAGTTATACACGTGTTAAATCTATATTGAAAATTATCAGTTGAAGTTGTCACCATATTAAATAAACCAAGGCTTGATACTAAGAAAAAATAATTGCTTCAACACAGTAAGCCGGATCAAATCTAGAGCCAAATATAAAATATTCCAAATGATGAATTAAGTGTCACAAACTCTCGTGTCGTTTTGTTTTTTAAAACTGCCTGATAGATTAATCTTTCAGAACAAAAGAGAGCCAAACCAAGATGTCCAGAATCTTGAATGCTTCATTATTCTGCTCCTGATACAAAAATACCAACACTACAACACTCCCAAAACACATTATCAAAACAAATACAAGTCTATTAAAAAAGACTTGTATAGGTTAACCTTAGCTTGCCACATGCCACAACACATCAGACTTTCATAGATTTGCTTTTTCACCTTTATACATCAAAATGCAGAGTAGCAAACACTGAAATGTGATGAGTCTTCCTTAGTATCCAATATGAAACATGACCGATTAAGCTTCCACCTAATACCAAAGGAGCTATTGGGCCTACACCCCAACAAACAGATTAGCAAAACAAATAATACCAGACCAAGTTGTCCAACATCTTGGAAAGCAAAGTTACTCCCAAATCTGGTATGCTGAACCAGAGCAAAACTCAAGTTTTGGATAGAGAAAAACAATAAACTTCCACACTAAGGAAATACATACACCTTCAAATATCACAAATAAAATGAATCAATAGAC